GGTCGCCGGAAGCGGTCACCCCTACTCTATGAAGTCTGGAACCTCTTTGGTCCACGCTGTCATGGAAAAGCACTTGTTCAGAGAAAAGATGCTCGCTTCTTGCTTTATGGCACCGGATCCCATGACCGAAGCGAATAGCCTCCATGATCCCAACTTGGAACACGTGTTGCAGGACAAAGAGAGGTTGTATCAGTACTTGTTCGGAGATTCCGTAAGAGGAAGCCATGCATATCAGTCCACTGCGGAGCCTTCAGGTGAGAATGAGTCTGAGAGGAGGAAGAGGGAGAAGGTAAGGAGAGAGAACAAGATGCCATGGATGGATGAGTACTGGGGAGTCCTTCAGCCAGAACCAATATACTCAAGGACTCAAAGGTGGTACGTCATTGATGACTTTAAGGAGGGTGAGGAAATTTGCTGCGATTACTGTCTGTTCTGCAATCCCATAGACTTCGAGTTGAAAGACGATTGCTATGCGGAATGCATCAACGGAGCAGCAAACAGATGCCGTGGGATGTCCGCAGAAGACTACGTCCAGAAGCGATTTCATGCATGTGCTCGATTGCTTCACAACTTCGGCATGGGGCAAACGGTATCTTCTCCCACCATCGTAATCTCCGAGATGAACCCGCACGATGACTTGATGAAGTTTTTACACGAGGCGATGATCATCTTCAATGAGAATCCAGGTTTCCAGAAGGAGATTTCGTTCTTCGGGGGGATCAGGTTGTCATCAACAATGACGGAGAACTTCTTCAAAACGAGGAGAGGACCCAGCATCCATGTGGAAAAGCAGAAAATCGGCAGCGCCAAGTACTTCCAGGGATCCTATGACCTTGGCAACGTATGCTACACCAAATACCTCAAGACCATACTGGAACCCGATGTATTCCGCTCTATATTCGGGGATGATCCCACGGAGGAACGGGTAGGTGACATGGTGGAAGCGCTGCTGGGCATGTTCGAAGTTGCTCAACTCTTCAGGCACATGTTCAGTAGATGGGGTGACATTGAAGCTTTGAGGACGGGATTAGAGGAATCCATCAAACGCGTCACTGCATCGCTGTACGACAGGACAACGTATGAGAACCGAAAGCGATCGATGATTAGAACCATGGACCCGCACTCTGATGAGGCGGCAAGCGTGGCACTGATTCTCGTTCGCATGAGGACTATGCCGCTTCCTGAATTCGACATCGACCACTTCTTCGAAATTGGGAAAGAACCAGAACAGGGAACAGAAGCCACAGGCGAGCCCGAGGCCGAAGGTGTCGATATGGAGACTGAAGGTGTACAGGAGAAGGAGGAGCAAGATGTTGACATGTCCGACCCGAAGGCATCAATACTGCACGCCATCGACGAATTTGAGAAGAAGATCGGGCGGGCAGAATTCTGCATCCACTGCATGGAGTCGGGACACACAACTCTCAATTGCGATAAGATCCTTTCATCCTCACCTACAGTCACCTCGGTGTTGAGTGATTGGAAGAAGAGAGTGAAGGGAGAGGTTGCGCCCGACGATGTACCATCAGGACATCCAACCGAACAGCCTAAGAAGAAGAAGCAGAGAGCGTCGCCCACTCCAGATAGAAAGGTCGACAGCGAGTTCAGGCGAAAAGAAATGTTAAAAGCAAGAGTCGTGACAATGTTCGACCATGACGGATTCACCTTGATCGAAAGTGCTGATGGAGTCGAAGGAGGACCACATTCCTACAATGGGCGGAAGCTTGCGGAAGCAGGCCCTAAGGATATGAAAGAGGTGTACGAATTTGTCGAGAAGGCATTTGTGCACTCCAGTTCCCTCACACCAAAGGCATGTCATCACTTCTATCCCCTACCAACACGGAGGGAGAAGGGATACAAGCCGATCGACCCCATGACGATGGTCGGGAAAGTTGAACTAGTACCGATCAACGGAGTCACTTTCGCTGCGAAGAACTCCGACTATGGCAACCACAAGTATCCGACTCCAGAATGTCGAGTACGTGAATACAGCCAAACGAGCCAGGCCCTGAGTCGTCGATTGGGAGCGAAGTTGAGGCATCGAATTGGACGCCAGTTCAGGACAGGAGGGAGACTCGCACCAATCAAATGCGATGAAGGCGCATGGGTGTCATGGGAAGACCTGTTAGGTGATAATGCAGTTTGGGAAGACGGTTATCACTATGGCAACATAGATATCGTGACCAAGAAGGCGCGTTTGGAGAAGTACTTCGACCAAAACTATGAGTGTTTCCGCATGACCAAGAGGGTCAGATTCCAAATGTTAGCGGTCCGTGTTCACCCTGATGAACTCAATGAGCCTGATGACCCGATGGAGAAGGGATGGATTAACGAACTCAAGGACATGGGAATCTCTAAAGGAAGACTCCACCATAGCGATGGATGGTGCTTTCCCGTGGCTGTAAGAGCAACCTCGGCACACTCAACAGACGGCGGAGGTTATGACGTTACCCTTGACATCGATCACATTGGGTCGAGAATGACCAACGACATGGCCCTATCTATGGTGACTGCATTTCACGCTACCAATCTCGGAGCGCTGACTTCAATCATGCGACGAGGGCTAGTGCCGGGAGGTCTCGGTTCATCGGGAAGGGATTCTATCCACTTCACATGTTTTCCGCCATGGGCCTGGGAGCAGGGCTACAAGGGTAAACCTTGGCTGGGTCGTAAGGTCGCAATGAGGGATCGCCCAGTGGTTCTCTATACATTCCGGTGTGGAAGCTGCAGGAGTACGGACTTCTCATCTCAGCGACTGGGTCTCTATTGGTTGAGGACGTCGTTCCCTTCGATGAGGTTAAAGGGGCATGGTTGCAATGCGACAATGCGGAACCCGGACAGCCTGAGAAGATCGAATGGATCCGGTTACTCAGTGGGGAACCCGATCCTGGAAGCTACCTTGTTCTAGAGTCCAAATACGGAAACCCGATCATGATTCCACGCTTTCAAAAGCTTGAGAGCTTAGCGGTTGAGGTTCAGGACGATACCTACTCCGAGGATGACGCCAAAATCTCAAAGCTGTTGGGTATGATCGAGGAGAGTGGTGTTTACCCAGAGTATGATAACACCGAGTGGCAGGAACTCTTCGAGGAGATCGTGTATCGCCGAGCGATGAAAGACTACGATTCAAGGCCGTGTCCTAACTGCCTTGGCGAAGTCGATGTGCGATTGACGATATGTCCGCACTGCGTAGCGGTTTTGATCGCGAATGGGAAGCTCACTCATGTGGTACCCAAGGAGACAAGGGACCGCAATCAACGATCACCTCCGAAAGATGTCCCAGCCAGTTCTTCCGGTGAAACAACTTCTACTGCAGGTGCAAACATCGATGAAGTCATCAAGAACGCACGCAAGACAGCCGAAGAGGTCATTGAGATCGAGGAATCCGAAGGAGAGGAAGAGGAGGAAGTTCCTATCATTTTGAAGGAACGACCGGACGAAGCTGAAGGCGAACCCGAGTATCGGGAGGTCCCTCAAGATGGATACGGGAATGAACTTCCGAAGCCTTTCCCCTTCGCAATTGACGAACTGCCGCAAGAAGCTGCGATCCCCATCGACCACAACTTTGCCGTCACACAGCAATTTGATCTGAGGTTGATGAAGTTGATCAAGAGCTTGGCCAACGCAACGTTCGACATCAACTGCTTTGAGAGTCGTGAAGATGTACTGCGAATGTTCGACGATGGACAGCGGCATGACACTCCGCACAATAGATGGCCAATAGTACCGAATGATCCGGATACTGGGTTTCCAAGACGTCTCAAGAGAGCCGAGGTCGTAGGCATGAGCAGATGGACCGACGACGTGTTTGCAGCAGAAGCGTGGCAGATCTATGAATTCCACGCCAACGTTGTTCACCCGATGATGATCACTGCAATCCGCTGCGGGCTTAGCCACAAGTACCTCAAAGAGGTCGGCAACACTCAGCGTAACATGAGTGATCCAAAGGCTCGAAAGTCTGAGACACAGGATGAGATCATCGAGAAATTGGCATTCATCTCAAATTTCATCAGACGCTTGATCAAGAAGACCTTCGGAGCGAGCCAATATAGTTACTACCAGAAACCAGATGACGAAAGTGCCGCTCCATACAAATTCGTCGACATTAGTCCCGCCATCAAATCGGAGAGGAAGAATGTCACGAAGGAGATCCTCGTTGCATGCCGCTACTATGGCATAGAGGTATCCGCTATCCAAGCACAGAAATTGAAGTCCTTCGAGGAGCAGATCCGAGCGGGAAATCCAAGGAACGTTGAGCTCATCAAGGACTACATTGGCTTTGTCGGCGCTGACTACATGCGACAACTCACGAATGGATGAGCATTGGGGTCATGCCGACATGCCACTTCCGGTACTTCAAGTACTGAGGGATCTCGGGTAATTCATGATGACCGTTTTGGCATCATGGGAGTGAGATAGGATTGTGTCTCACACCGTTGGTAATCGCATGATACCATAGGTAGGTGCACGTTTTCCGCTTGTAGCTCCATTGCCTGTTTGATCCAACTTTCAAGCGAATGCAAGATCTTTTGCTAATTCAATTCAATAGGACATACTGGTTGACCTCCAATACACTTTTGAGAACGTGATTCGTTCTCCGGTTTTTACATCCACTCATCTCCCTTCCCCGTCGAAGTACGGATGTGGGGGGTGTCAATAGGGATGGGGTCCCAGTATAGTCGCTATACAGGTACATGCCATATACATTTTGGCTCAAGTGCCCAACCAGGTAAAAAGGAGCTTTAGCGCGCGAGCTTCATGTTGACCTAAGAGCTAGAACGGGGCCAGGGCACACCTTTCCATCCGTTCGCATCTTTTGTGCTTCTACATCTATATATGCAGTGATATCATTCTTGTGTCTGTCGCTGGCCCCGAACGAACCATCGAATCCCTCACATTCCAAGGGAAGTCTTTGATCTTTTTCACCTATGGTTTCCTGATGTTCAACCTCTCCTCTCCTCCTACCCCCTCTCTCCCTCCGACCCCCGTCCGGTCCTCAGGAAGCGTCAGGCCGCCATCACCGCCGAGATCTGCGAGATCTCCTCCGCGGCCAACGCCATCGCGGCCTCGGACGCGAAGGGCGAAGCCGGGCCGAGCCTGGGCGTCATGGACAACGAGGCGGGCGGACGGACGGACAGCCGGGAGACACGGAGACACGGAGACACGGCACGGAGAAACCGGGTCAGAGAAAGGACGAAAGATCTGGTTTCAAGCAGGTGACCCAGGTCGTTTCTGCAGTGCTATGATGCTTTGGGAACCCATGAACTGATCGAATGCTCGTGCAAATGAGCTTTACATCTACTCTGTTTTTTGTTGTAGCTGGAGTCTTAAGTATAATTAATATTAATTAATGCCCAGACCATCCGTGGGACTCACATATTTACCTACATCAATTAGGGTGGTTGAAAAGAGGTCAATGTATGTACAGATGGTCTGGGATAGCTTTGAAAATGGGATAGTCATGTTCCAGCTCCTCAAATCAGGTCCAGGTAGACTCGATCGATGATCTTAATAGACCCTCCTCAGCCTGAAGAGGTTTTGCAATCCTTTTTTGTTGCCGGGGAACTTGATTCATTTTAGGAGTCGACATGACGCGGTATACGTACCTTTTTGTGCAGACCTTTGCTATTCATTTGGGGCGGGGCTGAAGGTGTTTTGTTCTGCTCTCCGAAAAACCGGTGACGACTCGCGCTCCGCTCTGTCGCTCTGTCGCTGTCGACTCGTCCTCCGACTCGGTTCGATGGGAAACATGGACGGAACAGGAGAGAAGGGGAGTGAACACCACTGGTCAGAAATTCCAGATTTTTTCATTGCAACCGCAACCCATTGAGATATCCATGGACCGCACAATTGTCCGACCTCCAGTCTGGCACCAGGAGAGCGTGGCAGAGGACTTTGCCAAGGAGTTGGCCGGCGATGATGTGCCTGAGATGCCCGTCTCCTATGACCAAGCGTTGGACTTTGAGACACGACAGGACTTGATTGCTTCCAAGAAGTGAGGAAGTGAGGATAAATGAAGTGAGGAACCACCCTCCGGTGGTTGGGGTCCCTGAATCCCAGACCTGTCACACGGCAGTAGGGAAGAGAGAACGGAAGTGCAGGTGAGCGTGGCTCCGCGGCTTAGTTCTGTGAATGGAGGAAGACACTGGCAAATCTCACCAGTGGCCTTCATGATTCTCCCGAGGGACGAGCTCCTCGCGCCTCGCGGCTTCTAAAAGAACCTGTCGACCTGTGTGTGTTTGGCCGGCGGACGACTGGGGAGTGTGACTACACATGACGAATATCCACATCCTATCCTTCACATACGTATAGGTCTACAGGCCTGGTAGCTGAAAAGTACCGTTTTTCGTTCCAACTCAGGTACAGTCCCTGGGGCTCCAACCATACCCTCAGAAGGTGGTTAGGCCCCCCAAACCCACCATACCCATCTTCGAAAAGGAGGTACTTGGAGCCCTAGGGAGTATAGGAGCCATGCTTGTCTTCGTTGCTGATTCTTCATGCTTGCATGATTACTCACAGGACATCGCACGGTGCTGCCTGATTGCCGACCGACCGACGGGGCGCTGTCACAGCTTCAACCAGGTGTGATAACATGCTTGGTTTTGACTACGGTGATTGTAGTGGTGATTGTTTATGTTCCCAAATATGGTCAAGTCCCCTTCCTGTTTTCTTTTTTTCCCAGGTTCCTGGACAACAAATCCAAGAATGTGACTTAAGTCGTTCCATGACACAGTTATGTGAATCTTGTGATTCTTACATGTTTTTACATGTTTGCTGGATCAAGGATATCTCAAAAACAACGTGCAACCATTTGTAACTCCCACATACCAGGCCCCCCCTTCTAAGGGGTGTCTAATGATAGCCCCCAAAAAGAGGTTGAGGCTTTAAGGGGTGTCCATGAACCACACCTCGTGGGCCCTGGCCGGCCAACCTCTTGACCTCTTGACCTCGGGCATCTGAGCCATTTTTGTCGCTCCAAGTCCAGTGAGTTGCTCCAATTTTGTGTCAAATGGTCGTTGACTTCATCCATCTTCATCCCATCTATACAATATGATCCCTGACACTCTTGACATATATATTAAATATAGAGTAAGAGTATGTCTTCTGTTGCCAGCAAAACAGCACACCCGGATGGATTGCTTTTGAGTGTTCGTTCAAAGGTAGAGAGTCTTTCTGCACGATCAGTGTACCAGACACATGGCTTTGGAGCGAAATGAAAGTCAGCATCAGTGCCCCAGATCCAGGTCATTTGTCAAGCGCAGGATCTTAGAGTCCCAATCCATGACTGGCGTACATCTCAGCTGAGGCTGCGCTAAATGAGCCTTTCCAAGCCATTGTTCCCCTTAAAAAGATCACCTTTCCCAGACCAGCCATGGGACTGGAATATAACTTGCATTAGGGTCAGAATCGGGTAAATGTACTGTATGTAACTATTCCAGTCCCACCGGTGGTTTGGGCTTGGACTTATTGATTAATTCAGACCCTGAGCAAATCTGAGGGACAATTGAGTGACCGGACGCACAATCACGTGGGGCACAGGGACGGCTGCAGGCCTATGTAAGAGTTCAAGAGTTCTCCAAGCGGAGGGGTTGAATTGGAGGAGAAACCTTCTTCTTTGGATGAGTCTTTGAGCTCACTCGGGGTGTTCATCGCCTCTCACGTCCTTCTTCCCGAAAGTCCAGCATCGCCCTTCGAACCGGTGCGAATCGTGCGAATCGGTGGGAAAAACCGCCGAGCTGTTTGTCATGTTGAGCTTGGGAAACCGGAGCTGTTCAATAGCCTCCCATGTCGACTGGAAGTGTTTCTTGACTTTCAAAAAGGATTCAACCAGGAGTCACATGTCGGGGTGCCGAACTGGGAGGATGTGTCTATGATATCCCATTATCTCCCATTATCCACTCACGTATAGGGACTAAACACCGCCCCTTTGTGGAGAAACACAGAGGCACAAAGACAAAACTGATGCAGCCCAGACTCTGCAGACTCTGTGGGGTGGTGCCATTTCGATTGATGTGCGGCGCGGTGAAGCCATTCGCGGAACCCGCGGGTTCGACGGCTACGTGCGATTCACGCAAGTGCAGGGCGAAAAACGACCCTGTGGCTTTGGATCTGGGGGGCACCTCAAACAAGGCACCAGGCTGTGGGTCATAGCACCAGAAGATCGAGTCCGGTTGACCTACCGACGGTGGTTCGCAACATGCGTCGAGTAGCGTCGAGTAAGTCGGGTGAACATGGTGGAACGACCCATCCCGATAAAGTGGAGCTGGTCAATTTGAGGTTTCTTTGCAAGAGTCCAAAAGCTCCTTTTCACTGGTAATATTACGTACAATATATATAACTGAATGTGTACATTACATTACAACTATTCAAGGTATTTGTAATGTAGACTGAAGATATGTCAACTCCTCCTACGAAGAGGCTTTGCAATCCATGTCCGGCGGGTGTTTTTATTCATCAAGAGTATACTGTATACATGTCTGGCTCGTTACATCTTACGACCTGTCACATGATCCAGTTGAGTTATCCAGCATCACATTGGTGCGATGGAAGTCTTGATATGGCTTCAAATGGGACCAAATTCCTGGCCAGCCATTGTTTAATGGTCTTTAATGTCTTTAACGTTTACCGAAGAACCATTGTTTTGCTCAGGAATTTAGTCTACAAAAACCAGGCCAACGATTATTTTGTTGAAGCCTAGGGCTGGTTTTTGTCTTTAAGATAGCTTTTCGGGGCTTCGTTTCACAACCACGCTTCAATATACGCTTCAATCCCCCATTGCTTCACCATGCAGGCACTTTGGCACCTGGACAAAAAAAGCCAGATAATACAGAGAAACCAAGCGTATACTAGTGGTGTGGTTGTGGATTGGGTCTGTCCCTGTTAACCTGTAACAGCCAGTAAACAAGAACATCACTATTTTAGAGAAAGGCCCGCAACCTAACCATCATCATCCACTGTTACTGGCAATCGGATAGGCCCAAGTGATGGACTTGATGTTCCCTTTGACCAGGGCGACTGAGGACGACTGAGGAACCACCCATACCTGAGACCTCAGACCTGCTCCATCACGCGAGCTCGCCGGCAGTCCTACAGTCCTACATGCATGTGGCTCTTGAAACAGTGGGTGTAGGAAACGAAAACCTGACCTGGCTTCAAGTACCACGAGTTGAACATGGGACATGACGCTGACCCTTCAGTCCGGTCTCAGGTCCTCATTTTAAGGAGTACTTTGTGGTACTTCATATTATTACAGCTATTATACTTGGTACTGAAAATATGAGAAGACTGCTTCACTCATACTGTAGCTTCACATATTTAAACAGTTGCACACACTCCCGTACTTTGGGTTCACATTGTTGCATACACTCTCCGTGTACCCTCTCGGTGTGTACACGGGATCACTCTCCGGTTCCTGTTGATCTGTCAGGCGACAGCGGAGAAGCTCCTAGGCACGGAGAGTACGTCCGACGGCGGGACGGCGGGAGCTGGGTTTTGGATGAAAACCCTCGAGTCGAGTCCATGGACCTGGTTCTTCAAAGTGACCGTACTTGATATCCTAATTTGAGGTCACAAACAAGCCTCCCAAGGGTCACTTAGGAACCCTTAAAAGGTCACTTTGAAGAAGCTGGGAGTGGGTGTTTTTGTAAACGTCTGTCAGTTCCAATCGACCTCCAACTCCACCACTCACAAGAAAGAGGTTCGACAGAGCAAACGAAAAAGCCTCTGGAGTCGATTGAACAATGAGGAACTGACCTCAACTCCAGAAAAATGAGGTCAGTTCCTGTCCAGTAGGGCTCCAGGTGCTTCCAGCAGGCAGCCTCTGGAATTCGACACAAGCCTTCAGGGCGCTCAGCTTGGGAGTCGGATAGGGAACCAGCCAATTGGCTCGCTCTCAAAACCAGCATCGATTTGTTCGACTCCGTTCCAAATTACTGTATACAGTTTCAGAGTAGATGGCATTGGCACCCCAAGTGGTTTATGACCCCATCTAAAAGGACATCTTGGGGGAAACGTGCCATCGAACCTCTGAAACCACTATGGGGACGACAGTCGCTTCTTCTTTTCCACCAACGATGTGTCCGTGCTTTGGCCTACCGGAGCCGCCCACGTGCTGGCGCGCTGCGAATATAGCGTCGCGTCGCTTCGGGTTTCAGCTGTGGCCGGCGCCTGGGTTGAACCCATGGCCAGGCCCAACCCTGTGCATTTTTGGATGGCTCTTGGCACTTCTAAGAGCTCCTTCGTTGAAATGGCGACGGGTGGAACGGTCCAGTATGGTCTAGTCCTGATGGAGGTGGAAGGACTCGTAAGAAACCTGGAGATGGGAGGTCCCCAATTGGACTTGCCGATATCGGGTGGCAAGGTGGCACTGCAAAGAAGTCCATGTGTCAGTGTAATTATGTAAGTGCCCCTATTTCCCAGGTTGCCCACATTTCATGAAATGCTTATCCAGCAGGTCCAGCATCCTTTGTGCAGCGCTATCAACATTCTACGTGTCCCTCATGCAAACAGAAACTTGCAAGTTGACCATCCAGTGTATGAGGAATTTTGCAAATTCCGTGGACTTTGCATGCGGAAGCACAGGTGGATTTGGCAATTTCTGCCTTGGAAGATTAACAATGGAACCTGAAAACCCCGTGTTTGTAGAGGACATTTGTTTTACAAAGGTCCAATTTCAGCTTCCATGTGGGTCTTTTCTCCAGTGTAATGGTCATTGCGCCGATTAAGCGGTCTTGAAGCTGCCGTCCACGCATGAACTGGGGCTCCAATAGAGCTTTTGATCTGTTTTCTTGGCTTTACTATCCTGTCTAGGCATGCCATCGCAATCGTATTTCTGGATATTTGACCGGCTTTTGGAGATAAATTCCAGACGTCTCTTCTATTTATTGTGTGTCAGCACCTTACAATCTTACAAGGCAAAAAACAACAATCCTGGAGAGAGAGAGAGAGAGAGTGAGAGAGAGTGAGTGAGTGAGTGAGTGAGCGAGTGAGTGAGTGAATGAATGAATGTGAATGCGAAGCCAGACCAACTCGCACAGAAAACAAATCTGATCTTCTGAAATCCACCAGTTCCATACGGACTCTCCAAGGTGTCACCGTTTTTGGATGGAACCACTGAACTGGGTGGTTCTGTTTGGGGTCAAACCCCCTGAACTGGGCGGTGCTAGCATTCCATTCTTCTTCCCGTCCCTTCATCCCGTCGATCCATCCGCCGA